CAGTCATTAATATTCTCTCACTCATTCACTCTCACTCACTCTCACTAATTCATTCTCCCTACCACCCTCACTCACTTACTCACTCTCTCTCACTCATTCACTCTTTCACTCACTCCCTCACTTACTCACTCTCTCTCACTCACTCACTCCCTTGCTCAATCAATCCCTCACTTACTCACTCTCTCTTTCACTCACTTACTCACTCACTCACTCCCTCACTTACTCTCTCTCTCACTCACTCACTCACTCTCTCACTCATTCACTCCCACACTTACTCACTCACTCACTCCCTCACTTACTCTCTCTCTCACTCACTCACTCTTTCACTCATTCACTCCCACACTTACTCTCTCTCTCTCTCTCTCTTTCACTCACTCACTCACTCACTCACTCCCTCACTTACTCTCTCTCTCTCACTCACTCACTCACTCTCTCACTCATTCACTCCCACACTTACTCACTCACTCACTCACTCACTCCCTCACTTACTCTCTCTCTCACTCACTCACTCTTTCACTCATTCACTCCCACACTTACTCACTCTCTCTCTCTCTCTCATTCACTCACTCCCTCACTCACTCACTCTCGCTTTAGTGGTTTGACATAACCTCGGAGCAACCTTGGAGCAGTCTGTTTTAAAAAGACAATCTTGCAACCATTAGAACGTGTTCCTGACTGAAGAGGAAGTAAAAAGCACTTGAATGATTTTAGCAGCACATTCAGAACCAACACCGGTACTTTAGCCTGCTAAAATCTTCCAATCACAACAAGTGCTCATTGAATCGATAAACAATGTAAGTCCAAGCTCTTTGATGCCATTAAAACAGAGCTCAGTAGAGAAGCCCCCAACAGGGAGAAGCTGCTGATCAGTGAAACGTTCATTCATTTGTTGAGAGACAAGTTGTAAACATAAACAGTTTGATCTAGATTTGTATTTTCATTCTGCATTCTTGATCATCTAAATCCAAAGCAAATTTAACCCCTTGTTGTTGTTCCTTGTTTAACACAAATCAGGTACTAGTTTCGACTCTTGGTTTATTCCATTGTTACATGTGGTAAAATAAAGTATTTGACATAAACAAAATGATGGTACCTTAATGTAAAACATGGCTCCAACTGCCTCAGGTTCCCTGATCTTCCATAGTTTAGGAAACAGCAATATGAAAGCATGAACAGGCACACCCTTTGATAGTTGTATAAGTAGGGGGACCTGGGGGTTTCAGATGAGCAACAACTTCATACAATAAAAACAAAGTTGCAGGTTCTTCTGGTTACAGGAAGCTGAACAAGGATCAGGGACCAAAGGGTCAGTAGCAGTGAGCCCTGGCTTTATTCTTCTTTTCGTGAAAGAAGTTCAGAAATGTCTCACATGCCTCAGTGAAAGGTTCGTCAAACCAGGAACATTTAAAACAACGTTAGCAGTGTGCAACAGAACCATGAGGCTTGTGTCAAATACCTTTCACAGTTTCATGATACAGGTACCAACAGTCCTGTAACATCTGAATGATGTATGGAGCTTGTGCTTTATCCAGTTTTGTTCGGCTTTACAGAAAATCCGCCTGACGGGACGAGTTGTGTCAATCAAAAAAGACTCAGCTTTAGTTTTAAAGCTGTCTTTTCTAAAACGTTTGGCAGCTACAGTGTCAGAAGACACTGAAGAAGAATTCATGGTGAAGCTTAACTGAAGAAGCAGTGGGTGGATTGATAACATGACAGAAGACTGAAAGGGCTTGGAGTAGAGCTGCTGCTCTGCCACATCTAGGGGCAGAAATCAGACGTGGGTCTGCTGACCACAGGGATTAGGTGGGAGCGAGGTGACTCAGGAGGCCCTGTAAGTAAAAATAAGTATATTGCGACAAAACATTGAAAACAAGAATTAAAGGGCAGGTCAAGCGTGCCTCAGAGTCCTTCTCCACCCACGTATCAATTTTGAAAATTGCAACATTAGTAGGTGTTGCCTGGCGGACCGAGAGGGCGGAGCCGCAGCAGTGACGAAGACGGATGGGTAACGAGACGATGCTAGCTCCCTTCACTCTGAGCGGTCATTAGAAGTGGAGGACGTTTCTCCCCCTCCTTACCCAGACACTCGAGAAGAAAGGGACCAAGTCTATTTGGAGGAGACAAGCGGACCTGAGCCTTATTGTTTTGAGCTTGTGAGTTGCCTGAAACTAGCGGAACCGACCCAACAGAACCAACTCAGAAAGGTAAGTAGCCGTTAGCCATAGCATTAGATTAGCTGCAGGGTTTGGCTCCACAGCCCTAGAGAGCTAGTATTCAGCATGTTTTAGAGGTTTATCTGCTTCAACACACCTGATTTTAATCAGCAACAAATAGCTGAGCTGCTGAACAGCTAATCTAACCTGTTAAAGCAGGAAAACCACTGAAACATGCTGGATAGCAGCTCTCCAGGAGCCCTGGGCTCAAGCTACAGTCTGCTGCATAGAAAGTTATGAAACTATCCCATGAGAAAATTATTCTGCAATGTGTTCAGCCCACTAAAACTGCCCTGATTTATTTATTTACTGATACTAGCTGCTCTCTTGGTCGTAGGTGATCCTCTGCTGTCTGCAGGTGGTCTCCTGCTGGTGTCATCAGGATCAGAAGCTTCTAGAAGAATGTGCCTTTCAATGAATCTTTCCTCTAAACAGTTATTTGTTATATTATTTAAATAAATCTCAATTTATATATTTCCTGTTTTTGTTCATGTCCATAAATACTTAAACATGCTTGAAATTAAAACGAGTTTTAACAGTGAGGTGCTAGTTTAATTCATCACAATAGAGTTAGTTAAACATGCAACAATGTGGTAATTCAATAAATGTAATTTATAAAAATCTATTAAAATATAAAAACTGGAATCAAAATGAGACATTTGGCAGCACAAAAAACTTCTCAAACACACTATTTATTATAATAATTGTAGGCAGACAGGAGACAGAGCTGATGGAGGTTCTCAGTCATCGAAGGATGGCTGAAGGCTTTCCAGGAACAGGATATGTGGTGTTGTCTCTTCTCTCTCTATTCTGCCAGATGAGCTGATAGGTTACAGGTGTGTGAGGACATCCTCATGCTGTCACAACCAGATGACAGGAGTTATCAGGTGATCAGCCAGGCTAATGATGAGATGCAGAAAGAAAACAAATCCAGGACAGTGTACAATAATGATAATAATAATAATAATATGTGGTGTTGCTCACCTTATGTGCTCTTATAGAGTATTAACGTGTGCCTGCCTCATGGTGTAGAGTCCATATTTTGCTGAGTGTCCTGCAATAATGCAGGTTATTAGTTAATTTACTTTTGATAGCAAAAACAAAATATTTAATGTCAAAGTTATTTACCAGGTGAATCAGCTCACACATCACCAAGTGTCACAGGGCCAGAATCAGTAGCCTCCTTCATGATGTCATGATGTAATCTAGCTACAAGCTCACAGCAGCAACACACGTGTAGCAATAAGCTATGAAACAAAAACATAGATGATGTCAAAACTCAAAGTCTGTAATGAAGATTACATGATGATTAAAAACAACTCACCTTTACTACACCTGCAAGGCTTCATGTTAGTCTGGAACAATTGTAGCTGGAACAATCAGTCTGAGAGCAGATTACTTGGGTTCATTTAGCCTGAAAAAATAAAAATATATATAACATCACAGTGTTGTGGGAGGTAGCTTCCAGAGATGATGAGAAACATGTGGAGAGCGGAGCGAGGATGGAGCTACAGGTATTTCTGTTAGATCAGGAGGCCCTGAGGTAAAATGGATGTGAGTCTGGGAAGATACTCCTCTCCAGTGGTGACCTGCCAGGCTGAGATGTAAGGAAAAAACAGAATACAGAGTACAATATTATTATTTATTATACTGTTTACCTGGATCAGATCATGGAGCTTGTCCTGCCATTCAGATGGAAGCTGCTCAGAAGCTCTCACCACACCTGGGTCTGTTCAGGAGTGTAGAAGCTGGTCTGGGTGGAATTCCCATCATGGTCCCAGTGTCAGACACACAGCTGCTGGGAGGCCATGTGAAATATAAAGAAACAGCAAATATATTTATAGTTGTTTTAAGGGCAGCACCACACGTGTGTAACAATGAGCTAAAATAATAAAATAATGTTACAACTAGAAGGTAAAGAAAGACAGATGGTTAAATAATTCACCTATAAGAATTCTAGCCTGGACCGGTGCAGGCTGGAGGACTACATCCGTCTTGAGCAGATTTAGCCTGAAAATAATATTAACATCACGTTGTTGTGGGAGTTTAGTAACTTAGATCATGTACAAAACAAACTAATATAAGTACTTCATAACATTGCTGGTGAGTGATCGGACTGCTCTCAGAGCAGGCTCAGTGTCCAGAATCAGACATGTTCTAATGAGAACCGGACTCAGCACCAGTTTAGAACCGGGTCAGTTTTTTAGCAGAAGGAGGAGCTGCTCGTCAGTGTCCCTCCTGCTCTGCATCAGCGCTGATATTACTAACTGGCACAAAAACTCAACCCGAACCAGTCTGTGACATTATAACACACACAACACTCGCTTCGAGCCTGTGGCAGTGTGGACTGATTGTCTAAATTACGTGAACTACATCCACGTCGCTCTTACTTTGCATTTATAAATGTAGCAAATATAGCTGCGAAATTAAAGGTAGGGAACGATCTTTAGAAGCTGTTAAATGTAATTATTTAGCTTACTCACCTGAAATTGGGCCCAAAATCTCCATTTTGAGGATGCAGTGGTCGGTGGGATCCGACTAATTACTGGAACGGCTTGGACTAATTTGTGAAATGCTCTTCAAATAGTGATGTGACGTTCATGAACGAATCAAATCTTTTGAACGGGTTTTCAAAGTGAATGATGAGAGCCGAGTCCCTGTAGAGAGCCGTTCATCTTAACAAACCTCCCCGGAAGTCGGTCAAACTCCCCCGCTCAAACCCCACCCACTGCTGTGACGGACGTAGGAGGAACCATAGCAGAAATGCTAACCAACCCTGTGCGCCCTCACGAACGGACACCACAGCACTCTCTTGGCTTCACTTCGTTCAAAGGAGCCAGTCTTTTGAATGGCTCTTTGAGGTAAACGACCGACTAATGAACGGCTCCCATGAAAGAGCAACAAATCCCATCACTATCTTCAAACCAGCATAACCCGGTTCAAACTCCATCAAGTTGTTGAAAGAGTAACATGTAAGAAACACTTGACTACAATATTAACAGCCAAGCTACTAGAACTAAATAACTATAATACTAGAAATTTTGCTGGGACTCTGACACAATGCTAACGCTAACTACAGCAAAACTCACTTGCGGCTAATCTGAGCTTCGACTGCTACAAGGCTGGTTGAGACCACGGTGCTTCTATAACCTACAGCCACAGAGCTGCAACGTAGTACTTTTCTGAAATATGTAGCATTGTTCTCGTTAGCCATTGGCTAAAACTGACTCAAAATAAACGTGTTCTATACTTCTGAGCTGAAGATGGTGCTAGCCTGATGTTTTTAGACAGAATTTAGAGTTTTCAAAGAAAATGCATCAAAATGCAAAAATAATAACTACACATCTGTACAACACTATTAGACGCTCTTTTATACTAGCTATCAGCTAAAAAAAAGTTGATTTTGATGTGACTTGCTCTTTAACATCTATTCTAAAAAGGACTGGAAGCCAATGAAGCCAAGCGGGAACTGAGGTGACATGGTCTCTTTGCTTAGTACCTGTCAAAAATCTCGCTGCCAAGTTTAGGACCATCTGCAGCCTATTAATGAACGTTTGGCTGGGACTTAAAGTAATGCCCTGATGTTATTAAGTACTGGATTACTATATGCAGCTGTGTGGGACAATGCTGATTTAATACTACATATGCAATGGGAGTGAAAAACACGACTGAACAATATTATTTATTTTTTCATCAAACGTAAGGGTGCGTCCATCTTTACACTCCGAGTTCATGAGGGGTCACACAAAGACGCTAGGAGTCTGGGAGAAAAAACAAGTCATACAACACAGAGACAAGAAAACTACCTGACATTTGAGGGAAACTTAACAGACACTAAGGACTGACTGACAAACATCATAAGACTCACGGGAAAATTTGTGGCATGAATGGAAACCTAAATGCTAACCCTAAAGGCTAACTTGGGAAAAAAATCCTAAAGCTGAAACACACGACGCACAGGGGGAACACTGATCATTTCCTTGAAATGACCTATTTAAAGAGACAATGTGTCATTTTTACCATTAATTTCAGGAAAATTTCATAAAAATATTGTTGAAAATGAATTACATGATGCACAGTTGTTGAAAAATATTGGAGGCTTTGTAACATATAACCACATAAATCAGGTCTAAAGTACATGGGAGCGGGTCTAAGGGTGTTTCCCAATGTCAAGGAACCTCACCTTGATGTCCTGGCCCCACCCCGGTTACCTAGGAAACACGTCATCAGGAACAGCCACGGCATGTTCCAATGTTGTTCTACCGAGGCGTGTGTTCTCTGGTTGTTAGCCGTCAACTTAGCTAGCTGAGCAAGGTTACATGGGAGGAGTCTTGTGGTTTAGCCTTGGTAAAAAATTTCCCAGAATACACAACGGTATTTTCAAAAGGATGGTGGATCAGAAGCTGGCAGCTACTACGGGGGCAAATTTCAAGTTAAAATGTTACTCAACTAATAGTCTAACAATTGGTTAGTTGCCTAGTAGTTGCAGCTTCGGTGGCAAGCAGTAGTAACTCACTTATATATTTAATTTATCAAAGATATACACAATTTAAAAAGTAAAAGTCTTGTTATATATTTATATTGAATCTTATACCTATGAAATATAACATTATTTCCTGTGTCACATGATGCTATGTGACCGCCGCGGAAGTCGCGGACACGTGATGCAAGTCTGTTACACATAACTGTTTTCTTTGACCAAGGAAGGACAGTGTCCTCGTAAGCTAGGCGCCTGGCCTAGCAAGACATCGCCTTGCAAGACCAGGCGCCTTGACACTGAGTAACACCCTAAAGCCTGGGGCACACCGGAGGCAGATACGCCGTGCTGTCATTTCAAAAAGAAGCCATTATAGTTCATGAGAGTGGGCACATGGGGTGCGCCGTATCCCAGAAGCGCTGTGCCACATTCTACTTCAAGTGCCGTCGTGCTGCGGCTCTTAACAACGTTGTGTAGTACTTTACAACAGACATTACGAAGCGGAACGGCTTTACCTGCACAAACTCAACCGCCGGCACAAACCCAGCCGCAGTTTTGATCATTTTAAAGTACTATTATTCTTAAAGTATTCAAATAAATAGCGTACCTACCCATTTTTAATCAATTTGAGTTCCCCAAAACATGATGGCAATCCAATCACGTATAAACAATAGAGTCACTTCCCGCTTTCTCACCCTATCTCCAAGTCTCTAAGTCCAGCGTAATGTTGTGACTATTGCGCAACTTTCCAAGAAGCACTCAGAGACGCGGCACATCCTGTGTGACCACTTGACTTCTCAAAATCTCGGGCGCTGCTTCTTGTTATGAAAGTTAAAAAAACAATTAAAAGTTAAAAATAAAAGTCTAGTTTTTTTCTTAAATAAATAAATAACAACAAAAAGGTATTTGTGTTATATCTGGCCCACTTTTGGTCAAAACTATTGAAATATTAGCATTTCCCACTCTTTAATGAATAAAAAAGTGTATTTTTCATCAGAATAGACCTATGGTGCTTTTATTTTGATAGTGGGTTAGCTAATTAGCATTTAGAAGGATTGTGAAGCGAAAATCCCAAACACACAGCACAATTTACAGTTTACACACAATTATTTACAACAACAGACAACTTTAGAATATTTTATTTATATTTCTAATATAAAACATTACAGTTATTAGCTTTTTCCTCTGACGTTCGTAGTTTAACAGTTTGTGACGCATACATAGTGGGAGACTTTGCTGTCCCGCAGAAGGATGCATCCTCGATACAGTGGGCGGAGCAAGAACAAATCCGGGAACTTTGAGCGAACTTGCCGTTATGCATACTTAGGATTGGAACAGTCCTTGAGCCATCGTCGATGACGTTCCACAAGGATGTGAGTACACAAGTTTGGACAAGTATGCATATTGAGAAACAGTCTTTGTGTCCCCATCCTGAGAGCTCCAATACTGCTCCATGGAAATGATAGATTTTAAGAAGTCTTGTCAGCTGTGTTCACTGAAACATGGACAAGGTCTTCTAACCTTCAGCTTTTACATGGACGTCTATAACCTCCCCTCTGAGCTTCAGTCTTGGATTTATTTGCTCTAGCCTCAGTGAAGTCCATACGATAAAAACGAATATTAAATAGTTTAATACAGGATTATTCTTGTCAATACGCACCCCAAACACCTGTCTACTGGTTTTAACAGGCATCTGCAAAATAAGGAATACATCATTTCCTTTCTCTGTCTTGTTGTCTCCATCACACTTTGAAACCACGCAGGTTTACATTACACAGCTTTTGATGAAATAGCTCTGCAGACGAAATGAAGTGTTCTCTCAATATGCTGTAAGGCTACCAACAAATATATCTACGTCTGTATATTTCCAACATTAATACATATTTTGAGCATTAATTCCCCTTTCACAAATATAAAAATATGTGCACCTGCTTCATATTTTGCTGGCTCTGCATTTGGTGCATCATCAATTTACCTCAGGCCTCTATTAGAACAAGAAATAATCCTTTTATCTGCTTATATGAGGCTTGACTTGCTCCTTTTACATTATTCTCTTCCTCTGCTCTCCTTTCACTGAGCATTTGTTGGCCTCTTCCTCTGGTTTTATTGAATATTTAATACTATCTCTGAAATCATAAAAATCCTTGAGCCATGTCCTATTTTTCTAAATCGAATTTAATTCTGAGCAGACTGAGATGTGGTGTACATCAGGTAATGATGGATGCTATTCATCATGTGAGGGGAATGTGCTGGCCGAGCAAATCCACAACTAATTATTTTACCAGAGTAAGTAATGGCAACAGGCTTTTCCCGATGTGCAGTGACAACAGCTGACATCCCGTGAGTCAGGGAAGCAGAATTAATATTAGACCTAATCATTCTGGAATAATAATCCTTAACAGAGCTTTGAAACTCAGCAAGTGAGAAGAAGAGTAAACAACAATCAGCACATTTTCTATAACTTGAGACAAGCCTGCAAATAATGAGCACACTGGACACCTTCTTGTCAGCAGGACTCATCTCAAATTGGTATTGTTCTAGATCCATAAGTACTTGTTGCTGGTGCTGATGTCACCGCCCATCCTTCACAGGGATTCCAGGCAGGGTGACAGCAGCTGCAAACTAATTAAAGTGCTGGGAGGTTCTAACTAAAGGTCAAGCCCTTTGATATGGTTTTCAAAACGATAAATAGGAAACGGAGGGTAAAAACTGCCTAAAGCTTTCTGGTAAACAGGACAGTATTAGCCCCCCCCCCCCCCCCCCCCCCCCCCCCGTAGAAACGACCAACAACATGAAGTACTTTTGATCTTAACGTTTTCTGTTTTACAAGATTTTAGGTTTACATTTGGCCATGACGTGTTTGATGTCTTCACTGATGAATACGACAGAAGTCTGGATCACTGGGCTTTGGCTTTTCAGGTTGTGAACCCTTTGACCTCAAAGTCAACCAGAACAATCACTAGAGCTTGTCACCATATCTGACTGAAACAATTACTGAACCAATCTGAGTTACATGTGAACATTAAAGTATTAATAAGTATAATTGTTCCTCTTCATTAATGGTAAATGGTCAGTTTTTGTTTAGCATCTTCAAGGTTTCTACAACCCCCCCAAGATGCTTTACAACACAATCATTCATTCACACTACAGTGCATCATTCATCCATTCACACACCCATTCAGGATGGTGATGTTCTGGGGCACGCTGGTGGGGTGGGGGGTGTGTGTGTGTGTGTGGGGGGGGGGGGCTGCTGAGCCGACCACCACCAGCAGACAATGGGTTAAGTGTCTTGCCCAAGGACACAACAGCAGCATTCTCTGTCCAGAGCTGGGATTGAACCTGCAACCTTCCGATTGCTGGACAACCTGCTGGACCTCCTGAGCTACTGCTGCCGCTCAGAAGCTAATGCGGGAAGTATGAGTAGCAGACAATTTTTACATTCAGCCTGCGTGTTAAACTCAATCATTTTCAAAAATATTAAGTAAAAAGGGGTTTTCAGTTTAATCTACTCTTTAATAAGTGCTGTTGACGTTATGTGTGGTACGCACACAGTAGTTTGGAGAATGCAAGAGTTTATCCAATGATTGAAAGGTGAGTGGCTAATTGCAAGCTGGCAGACTACAAGATACTGAAACTCAAAGGTTGCACTCTGGGTGCTGAATCAATGGCAGTCTACTGCTTCTCAGAGGAAGGTCAAATGCAGTTGGACAGAGGAACATACAGAACTCCTTCCCCCTTTACCCTTTGCTAGGTTAGCTAAAGGTTTATCAAATGCTAATTTTTCATTTTTTTTACTTCACAAGTTCATGGAAACAATCGTGACACTCAACGGCTAACATCTTTGGGTGCTGCCAACCATGACGTGACTCTGTCCGAGTGAGGCACATCCAGAATGTGGTGCCATCCTTGCTATAGAGTTATGATAGCTTGGAGGTTGGCAAGGCTGCAGGGGTGTCTTGATGAAATTTGTAAAGGAAAAAACTAAGAGATCTGAAAAAAGGTTTTCCAAAGATGTCCCAATCAATCTGCCTTCTAACCATCGATCTAAGAAACGTGGGTAAGAGACGGACTGGACATTGGAGAAGACAATCAAAACATATGATTATACTGAGAGGAGGGGCGGGGGTAAAGGTCAACATCTCGGAAGTTTGATGACACCAGTGTCTACAGGTAGAGAGCCAGTCCTACCTGCCAGACGAAGGGACCCCGAGTTGTAGATGGCATCATCACGGAGCTCCTTCACATGCACAGTGACAGTGGATACAGCGTCTGGCCAAGCCCCATCCGAGACCCGCACCTGGAACTGGTAGGTGCCTGGAGGAGTGTTCTCTTTGATGATAAGAAAACCAGTTCGCTTGTTCAGGATGAAGTAACTGAAGGAAAAGAACAAAAACACCTTTTACTAATGACACATCTCTGGAGTCACTCAGTGTTTGAACACAGTTGAGTGGCGTGGCTAGTGCACACCCCAGAATCAGCTGTCAGCCTGTAGAACAATTAGCCTCAGACCTCATATCTCATTCTGTCTCCTTTTAATGTGTCAGGATGATAAACATCTTTTGCATGGCCACATGTTTATTACCTGTGAATGCGTATGAATGCACTCTGACGAGTGCATCGATCATTAGTGTAAGTGTTTATACATCTCATGTTTTACATTCATGTACACTAGAGAGAAGATCCGTCTCTGCTGATGTTGCAGTGCGGGCTGTCAGGATGGGAGACTGCATCATCAAGTGTACATAAGTCCTGTATAAACTAATGGGCCATTCCCATCTGTACCAGGTCGGCCCGGACCGGGTAGCCCCAGTCGGTCCCAGCCTGGCCCGGTTGATTCCACACATCCTTGTCTTAAGCCCATGTGGGCTGATTCTACCCACCAATCAGAGGCTTGCTCTAATGGAAGGTGTGAATTTGCTGTCAGCAGTGGGTGTGTTGGCCCTGGTCGGCCTGAAGCAGACCCCCTCGAGAAGAGGGCTGAGAATGAGCCTTGGTTGGCCCGGAAAAATACCAGGCCACCCAGATATGTAAACAACCTACGCTACCCGGCCCGGGCCGACCCGGTACAGATGGGAATGGCCCATAACACAACACTCAGGAGAATAGGATTTTGTAAAACCCTAACATGACCAACATGACCACATTTAAGAAAAAAGTTTTTTTAAAGCCATTAGAAATTCAGATACCTAACATCAAACTATAAATCATTTGGTTGACTGTTCAGGAACGTTGTCCTCTGAATAAAGAAAACTGCTCTCTACATCGAAATGATGCACTTCCAACCAGATGAGAGAAGAGCAAATTCCTCCCACAAAAGGATGATCATTATAGGTCTTACACCGCTCTACCTCTTCACTGGCCAGGCTGTTGTAAAGTCCGCGACTGCACTGAGGGGCTGCTTGGTGAGGCTTCAGGTGGACCACCACTGAAACATCATACTGTCTCCTTTGTTGTTCGTCCAGTTAAGCCGGGCGGACACTGTGCGACTTTTTCACTCGTAGCTCTCATTTTCAGCTCAAACTGTACGACTTCCTCGCAGGGCAGATCTCACGAGCCAGGCGCTCACACTGTACGACCCAGTTCTCGTATGCGACCTGACTGCTCACGCTGTACGTCTGGTAGCAACACGTCGGACCTAAAAATATGCTAAAAATAGCAGTTTTTACACAACACGTCAGACTTTTTTGTCTTGTTTTGCCTGTTGTCCTTCGGGAGTGCTGCAGGAGGACACACAGGGATTTATGGGGGTTGGATGAGGAAAACGAAATAAAGAAAGTAAATCTGTGTTTTGTGATCAGTTTAATTTGACATGAACACGACAAACACGCTCTCTTGACAATCTTTGTGAGTAAAAAAACGTGTAGAAACAAAAACGAACAGCGTGTGTTATTAGGGAAATAGCGGGCGAGCGGTGTTGATGCAGGATTGCGCATGCGTCGTGAGCGGTTCTGGTACTTTTTGGGTCGCAGCGCCGCTTCAACAGTGCGATACCCTCACGAGGGACGAGCGAAATATTAAACACACCAGAAGTCCGTGCGAGCTCACGATTGCTGATGGGTAGCTGGTCACGTGGTGTTAATCGCCTCTCGTAACCCCCTGTACACTACACGACCGCTCTGCGCAAAACTCGCCCCGATCTCGTGGATTCTCTCACGAGTGGAAAATCGGCTCAAATAATTGAAAAAGTTGTACAGTGTCCGCCCGGCTTTAAGATTTTAAATTGCTGTCTTTATTTAATAATTATTTTTCAGCCCGATAAGCTAGGTTGTAAAATGGACTAAATTTGATGTAACCTCACCTGGCTCCTCTCGATGTGGAGGAGCAGCAGATCTACTCCGAGCCCCTCCCGGATGACCGAGCTTCTCACCTTATCTCTAAGGGAGAGCCCAGACACCCAGCAGAAAAAACTCATTTCAGCCGCTTGTATTTGCGATCTCATTTTTCCTGTCACTACCCAAAGCCCGCGACCATAGGTGAGGGTAGGAACGTAGATTTATCGGTAAATCGAGACCTTTGCCTTCTGGATCAGCCATGTTGAGTAATGTTGTAGGACCTCCTTGCAGACAATCTTTATATATTTTGTGCTTCTCCTACCAAGTGTCCCCACAGTGAGGGTAGAGTTTGCCTACGGGAACCTTCTCTGTTCCCGTGGGAAAGCTCCACCCACACTCAACAGAGTTTTCCCACAGGAACAGAAAAGGTTATATCCAAAGCCTTAACAACACATGCATTTGCACACTTACAGATAAGCTAACGTCGGATCCATTTAACCTCTCCTTTGACTGCTGGGTCGCATTGACCCGAACAGTATCTGTGTAATATTAACTCATTCACTGCCAATGACGACTAAAGTCGTCATTTGCATTTTTTTTTTACTGTTGAGCATCGGAACGAGCCCCCGCGCTGAGAGAGCAAACATCTCAGCCCTGAAGCCGATCTTCATCCGCATACATCACACGTCATGTGATCAGGAAGCTGAACATCCATGTGTTAGGAGATCGTTTTTGGGCCGTTCCTGTAAAAGAAGTGAGGCGCGAACCAGAAAAGCATCTGCCGATCACAATTCAACAACGGATTGTGAAAGAACGGATAACGCTCGAAACACGCGCATTCTTCCTGATGTAAGAGGTGAGTCTCTGCTTTGTTTTGGTTGTTTTGGCATCGACATCATCCTAGCGCGCAACGTTCTGCGACTCTTAAAAAAACAGTAAAAACGGTGAGAAATGCTGGCAGCGAAGGCCATTAGCAATCAGGAAATGGCTGGCAGTGACATGCATGGGGCGTTGCACTTGTGTGAAATGAACTATTTTTATTTTATATGTTGACTCCTCTCATTAGGTCAAGCTCCAAATGTTTCATTCAGAAAAAAACTTTTAACATATTTTTAGATTTTTGAAATTTTAACTGGGTCGATTTCACCCACAACATAACAGGAGGGACAAATGGGTGCCTAAGGGCCTGGGTCGCTTTGCTCTTTACAAAGTTGTATTTTTGTCTCCTAAATATGTTCAAATGGGAAGGAAGCAAGCACCGCTGTTGGAGGTTGTGCAAATTTGACTCCAGAGACCCAGATAAGATGTCGGAGGGAACATGTTTATCTCTTTTCCAAAGCCGGGTATGGTATATGACACAGCTGCAAAGGGAATCGGTCAAGTAGGACAAGCAAACCACTAGCAGTGATTACGTGGAAGAGAATATTTTGGTGAGCCGATACTGGCAACACCCTCAGATATGGAGTTATCCATGAGGCAGTGGTGTAAATGAAGGGGTTCAGCTGAACGTCTCGGCCAAGCAGCAAGTCCATCCAAACAAGGGCAAAAAAGGCCAGAGGTGGGTGGTATGTGAAGAGCAGTAACACAAATAATTACCCAAGTAGGAATAAAACAAAGTACTTAGAGAAAATGTTGCACTGTTGAGCACTCTGAGTAATGAGTAACTGAGCATAAAAGTTAGAAATTTGTTTATGCTGATTTGTTTTTATCAACGAACTAGAACGCTGTGTGTTTTTAGGGATTTTCCGATAACGTTATTTTTGCTCCCTATCTGATTTTGAGTCATTTGATTGTGAGTATCTGCTGATATCGAGTCCCGATCCGATACTTTTAAGCAGTAAACAAAAGGAGAATAGAATAGTCGTTAGTGATCCCTCAGTGAGGAAATTCACTTAATACAGCAGCACAAACACTTAAATGAGTTTCACTGGTCACTCTTTTTTTTTTTTAAGTTTCTCTTTCACTTACTTAGGAATTACATTGATTTAAAAATGTGTTTATATTGTGAATGTAACATCCAGTAATGGTCAGTTTTTAAGTACAGTTTGACCCTTCAATATCTGGTCAAAATGGAGACACGAGACTGCATGTGTTCCCTTTAATCTGCCTGGCTTCATCCCATCAGCTGGAGCTCAGAGCCTCTCTGCAGCTCTGAACACATGATAACATAGTGTCAACAATGATGTTCCTCCTCAAGGCATCAAGCTTCCCTTATCGCCCTACAGGTTGTGCAGAACAGCGCAGCAAGGTTCCTGACTGGGACCAGGAAACGGGACCACATCAGTCCGGTTCTGGCCTCCCTGCACTGGCTTCCGGTTTGCTATTGTTCACACTTCAGACTCCTCGTCTTTGTTTTTAATTTCTTCCAGGGTGGTGGTCCCCCCTATCTGGCCACGCTCCCGAACAAACATTCCCCATCACGCGCTCTGCGCTCCTCTGACCAAGGCCTGCTCGCTGTCCCTCGTTCTAGGTGTCGTACTCGTGGGGACCGGGCTTTCTCAGTCCTAGCACCGTCACTCTGGAACCAGTTGCCTCCCTCAGTTAGGCAGTCCCCATCTCTGCCAGTCTTTAAGAGCCGCCTAAAAACACACCTCCTCCGCTTGGCGTTCCCTGAACATGTTTGAATTTGGCCCTCTTTTATGTTGACTTTATCTCACAGTTTTCATTAGTTCACTTTTTCCCTTGTTTTACACATTTGTCTTCTACTAAAATGTTTCACATTTTTTGTAATTTTTAATCTGTAATTTGAATTGCTTTTATGTTCTGATTTATTCACTTTATTTAACTTTGTACTGTACCATGTTCAGCGCCTTGGGCTTCCTGACAGGGTTGCGGAAGGCGCTTTATAAATAAAGCTTTGATTTGATTTGATTTGAACATGTCAACCTCTGGTTGGCTACACAAATCATAACATGAGAACATTAAAACAGGATCACTCTGGTGATTCAGCAGTTCATTCGTTCTTTTGAGTTGGACTTCCCTTTCGAGTTCCAGCTCTCGTCACTCAGCCTACAGAGTTCTAGAGGAAGCTACAGAAATGGCCATCTGTGGTGAAGTCTTTACCTTTGACACGCCGTCAAGGTTGTTGCAAAGCCAACACA